GGCTTTCTTTATTAGACTTTTGAAGGACTTTTCTGTCCGAAAATCATTTTTTTAAATCTCTAAAATCTGCAGCTAAATGTGTTTTTTTAAGCTGTTTTGAAGAATGTTTTGTTCTGTGATGGAGTTATTTGTCAAATCTTTGATTGCGAATATCTCTCAGCCAGGCTGTACGCCACCCATCACGTCCACCCCTGCTGTGACATTCAATGTGAGGCAGCGTGATGGAATCAGGCTCTCGTCAATAGTTGGGCATGTCGAGTTATTGGTATCATCTTAAAACTTGTTCACTGGTCTTTATTTGGATGAAAAAAATATCCATTTATCTTGAATACAAGTCGAGCTATTTGCAAATGAAAGAGGTGGGGATCACCTGTTTTGAGAGGCAAATTTTTAAATATTTTTTTCAAGGAAAATATGTAAGCCAGCGTGGTGGAATCAGGCTCTCGTAAAAAATAATCAAAGTGAAGAAACTTGCATTTTTCCACAGGTTTGTGAATTTTTATCAAATTTTCGTTTTTTATCTGAACACCTTTCATGCCCATTAAAGAATTCATTTCTGTGTGGATTTTTCTGAAAACGGTTGATTAAATTCATAGAAAATGTAAATTTTCAGTTACCACGGACTCTTAATCTAAGGAAATAACTATTCTTTGGTGGCCATTTTCTCACTAATTTTACTTCTGAAAACAGGTGACCCCCACCTCCTTTATTTGCAAATATCTCGACTTGTATTTAAGATAAATGGATATTTTTTTCATCCAAAATAAAGACAAGTGAACAAGCTTTAAGATGATACGAATAACTCTACATGCCCAAAAATTGACGAGAGCCTGATTCCACTACGCTGCCTCACATATCTACTTTTCTTTTACGTTTTGAGCGAGGCATGCCAAAGTGGTGGAGAAAACAACAACAACAACAACAACAACATCAGATAACAGCAGCAGTAATAGTTTTTGATATAATCTCGAGAACATCCTGAACTGTTATCCAAGACTTGTAAAAAACAACTGGAGAAGCTTGCATAACCCTATCAGGTGTACCAGGAATCAGATAAGCTTGCGTACGTGTGAGAAGAAAAGCTCAACAAAAAGCAGGAAACAGAGAAGAAAATAAAAACATCCATGAACACCTTTATCAGATGTGTCACAGCGCAGTAGGATTAGGCGCTCGTCAGTTGTTGGTTGTTGTTGTTGTTTGTTTGTTTTGAGGGGGGGGGGGCAAAGCGAGTTATTGATAAATTCTAAAAGTCTGTTTATTTGCCATGCCCGTGTTGAGAAAAACTACTCACCGGTCTTAAATAGAAGTCGAAATAATTTAA